AAACGCAAAATGCATTGATTTTCGCATTCATTAATCTCAGGCTTGTGACTTTGGATAGGTAAAACACACAGACATGAATCGCATATCTTTGCAATTGAGAGAACTTACTCGATCCGGTCGTCCGAGTTACAACCTTGTGTGCTAAAATATTGCAGACTCCAGCGTAATCCTGTGCGCAATGAGGCATATAGTTTAAACATTTTCCACGAAAAAGCATCCCTAATAATCCATAAAACATCGATATTATTCACATTAGATGGGGAACAAAGCGCATATTCACTTCTGCAATTTTCCCCTTCTGGGAAAAAATATATATTTTATAATTTATTTATTATAAACCTATACATAAATGGATAGAAAAAGACTCAAAAATGGGCTAGGGTTCTACTATAAATAACTACAAAATGCAGTATTCTATTTATTAGGAAGACAATTACTTGAATTACGAAAATTACTTTTCGTAATTTTCGCAACCATGTATTCCTTCACAATACTAAGCCATAGTATGAAAGGGTTAACACAGTACTGTGATTTGGTGTAAAACATCCTGCTTCAAAATTCAAATACAACCAATAGCCTAAGGTGGTTCAGATTATACTGTGACACAAATGTTTTGCCATACTGCCTAGCCCCTAGATCAGGGGTGCCCAACTTCAGTCCTGGAGGGCCAGAACCCTGTGTAGCTTAGTTCTTTCCCTGTTTCACCATAAATGATTCAGCTCAAGAGCACTGTGGTAATTAGCACAAGGAGTTGAATCAGGTGTGTTAAATGAGGGGAAACCCAAAAATGTGCAGGGCTCTGGCCGTCCAGGACTGGAGTTGGGCACCCCTGCCCTAGATGGTCCCTGTGCTCCACATTTTATAGTGTATTGTGTTCTGTTAGTCTCTTTCTGACCTTGACATGGTTTGTCCCTCCCTTGCTCTTGGTTTTGTCTTGGTCTGCACTGAGTTGGTCTTGGCCTTGTCTTGGTTTCGGCCTGCCTTGGTCTTAGTCTTGTCTCATTCTCGCCCTGACTTGGTCTTGGTCTTGTCTCGGTCTCGCCCTGCCTTGGTCTTGGTCTTGGCCTTGTCTTGGTCTCGGCCTGCCTTGGTCTTGGTCTTGTCTCATTCTCGCCCTGCCTTGGTCTTGTCTCGGTCTCGCCCTGCCTTGGTCTTGGTCTTGGTCTTCTCACGGTCTCGCCCTGCCTTGGTCTTTGTATTTTCTCAGTCTCGCCCTGCCTTGGTCTTTTCTCAGTCTCACCCTGCCTTGGTCTTGGTTTTGTCTCAGTCTCGGCCTGCCTTGGTATTGGTCTTGTCTCGGTCTCAAATTACTCTGGTCTTGGTAATGACTTGGTCTTGGTTTAGGTGGTCTTGACTACAATCACTAGCTCCCAGCCAATCAAGAACACTGAATACCTGCTACAGGTGCGATGGGAGGGAGCAAAAATGTGACCTTTCTGAGGGTTTCCTAGGACTGGGTAGAGAAACATAAGTGTATGATATTGGACTAGTGTTAAAAGTAGTTCCTGGTTTACTTCTACATGTCTATGTCACAGCTCTGCTTTGTGTCACATGACCACCAAAAATCTGCTACAGACCTGTCGGATGTGATCGTGACTTACTGAGGTTTAGTAAATATGAGTGTCTATCTGGGCTTGGTTATCCAGCCTAATGACTGTGCATAGGGGTGCTGCTAGAAATTTTGGGCTCCATGAAAGCATATAATATAGGGCCTTCAACCCAAACCAATCCAATTATGTTTCAGATTTTTTAAGGCCCCTGATGTCCTAACTTTACCCCTTTGATGGTGCCCCTGACCGCATGCCACCGTCACAAAGACCAGACACATGCTCAGCTCTCATCCCCTTCTCACTTTTCTTATCATCCACATTCTATCAGCAGTAGAGATTTAAATACTGCTTTGGTGGTTTGGTCACTGACAGTTTTAAGTTTTCCCTTATCAGGTAGAAAATTACACAGTGGCAACTGATACCTTTGGTACTTTGCTGCTAAAAGTGTAGCTTTTGAGGGGCCTGAGGTGAGCGATATGGAGAGGGAAAAGTTTGCCATGGAGTCTCCATCCACTGTCCATGGTGCCTACTCTGAACGGTTGGGTCATTGTTGAAATCCACTGCTCCACAAAGTAGTTGTTAATCAACGATTAAGAGATGCTATGGATTATAATCGATTGGCTCTACCTGCTCAGTGTAGCCCCAGGCCCCCATAGAAGGGAAAGCCGATGGGCTCCAAGGTCCCAAAACATGCTGCAAGTTAGTGCAAACCGTGTTCGCTATCGGCAAGTAATCACAGCCATCGCAGGTCAGGAGTTCAGAGAACAAAAAATGATTTCTATAGCATTTATTTATTATGCAATTCATATAGTTCACTGTAGCATCTTTCAAATGTTTCAGTACAGAAGACTAGAGAAATGAACAAACAATTGAACTTTGGGAGTTCACACATCAATATTTTTTGCCACTTTGTAAAATGTGTCGATATGTTCGGACAATCAGTGTTATTGATCTTGAGTACTGATTTTTGAGGTGTCTGAGGAACATGAGCTAGATGGATAGTATTAGATATTTTATTATTTCTGTTGGTGCTGGGTAAACCAAAAGTCTCACAAGAACAATCCATGGGAGGTCTTCTCCATTCCAGGCGTGGTCTGTGTGCCGATGTGCCTGCCGGCATTTCGCACATCTTGGTGCTCTTTGATCTGCACCAGTGGTCCAGTGGTCATCTACCAATAAAACTGTGTAGACTCTGTTAAGGACAGCAGTTACCGAGTGCAGACTGATGTACTATGACAAACTGTAGGTGTCCTCGTTACTTCCAGTTTTGATGATGAATAGACGGGCTGTAGGCTCCCCATGCTGCCACATCAGACTGGAAACAAAACAGATTGAGAGTCCAAAAGTGGCAGATGGAAAGAATGTAACAGCCCCTCCCCCTCCCCAACTAAAAACTCACAGAATCAAACCATTAGCAATACCTTCCATTTGGCTCTTACCTCTCCCAGTCACCAGACGCAACAAGCCCATCAATTCATTTGTTTGTTTTTGGTTTTACAGATGCATGTTGGTTGTACAGATGCATGTTGGTTTTACAGATGCATGTTTTACAGCTGCATGTTGGTTTTACAGATGCTTGTTGGTTTTACAGATGCACGTTTTACAGATGCATGTTGGTTGTACAGATGCATGTTGGTTTTACAGATGCATGTTTTACAGATGCATGTTGGTTTTACAGATGCATGTTTTACAGATGCATGTTGGTTGTACAGATGCATGTTGGTTTTACAGATGCATGTTTTA